GTTTTGGAGCCACACTCAAGCAGTGCTCAAGACTTACTCCTGGCTCTGCATTCTGGGATCACTCCTGGCAGGCACAGAAGACCATATCGGTGCTGGTGGTTGAATCCGGGTCTACTGCAGGCAAGACAAGAGTACTTCTTGCTGTACTATCACTTCATCCCCCTTTCTTTGTATTTGAAAAATAATAACTTAAATGTCTTAAGAGGATGTGATGTTCGATGGGATCAGCCATACTTTCAAGATGGACCCCACTGGACTCAGAGAAATAGTGACATACATGCATTGCTGCAGCTGCAACCCTGGTTTGAATTCCCAGCACCAAATATGGTTCCCAGAGCACAGTCAAGGATCACTCCTGATCACAGGGCCAGGATCAGTCCCTGAGCACCACCGAGTGTGATCCCCTCCAATCCTTCAAAACAAACTGGAGTTGAGGGTATTTATGGGCACTCTGGTGGTGATGGGGCTGGAGCGATAGCAGGGCTGGAGCGATAGCACAGCGGGTAGGGCGTTCGCCTTACACGCGGCCAACATGGCCGACCCGAGTTCGATTCCTCCGCCCCTCTCGGAGAGCCCGGCAAGCTACCGAGAGTATTCGATATGCCAGACACAGTAACAACAAAGTCTCCAATGGAGACGTTACTGGGCCCGCTCGAGCAAATCGACGATTAACGGGAGGGCCTTTACCTTTACCTTTACCTGGTGGTGATGAGGTACAGTGACTATATGAAGACCAATAAATATTAACAGTGCTGTAAACTGTTATTTTAACAAAAAAATAATAAAAAATTTAATTTTAAAATGAGAAAGACTGAGCTCGCATTTTTAATTTTTTGTTCCTGATTCAGACTACTCATTACTTCACAGTGACATCATTGCTTCACAGTGACATCCTACCAGCTCAGCTCAGCATTTAAGGCTCTTCCGGACCTGGTGAAGACTCGCACTTGCAGCCCCAGCTCCTAGAAATAGTCATAAACTCTACTCCAGATTCCTCATCATCCTACAATTTTAGGATGTTCTTCCTGTCCCAGAATTGTGTCTTGAAGCCCATTTGTTCTAGAGAGTGTTTTCCCATTGATAATCAAGCACAAACTTCATCGTTGCCTCACTCCTGGTTCTTTTTAGATACAGCCTTTCCCTCCTCAGCTAACTGGACTTCTGGCCAAATTACCTCACAAAGATTCTGCCTTGAAATTTGATTTCTCTGTTTCCCTGATTTGAATTCTATTCCTCATGCTCTGGGAATTCTTATCCTTCTACCCTACAGCTAGCTGACTTAGTAGTCAAAGAGTGGCTTTTTCAAAGCAATTCCTCAATTATCTACTCAACCTATTTTTGTCCAACAAATACAAAGGAATGATGCTCTTAAAATTTCAATGCCATTCATTTACTGAAATTATGTAAATCTATAAAAAAGGCTGTGTTATGACAGGCATACTGATGATGATGAACAATTATGTTTTGGTATTTAAAGCCATTTTTATCCTGTTAAAGATACAAAAACACATTCATTTTGGAAAACTTCTAAAATGCATACACTGAGGTAAAAAAAACTGTCAGAAAACTAATTTCTAAGAGCAGTCACTATTCTTTTTAAAATGAAGACATACTGTTTGTTATTATCAGTTCTCAAGAGACATAGAAAGGTAGCTAAGGACATAGGTTGAACACAACTATGTTTGATCCTCAAGTTCCACTCTATGTGACTATGTTACCCTGGGCTAGCTACTTCATTCCTCTAAGGCCCAAATTCTCATCTGAAATGGAAGGCTAATGGTAACTGGTTTTCATTGCTAAAATAATTTTTGGGAGATCAAATTACAAAGAATTTGACAACATTTTTATTTTAGAAAATACTATATGCCTGTTTTCATTAGTACACTAAAATTAAATGAAGGTTAAGTCTATAGAGGGGGGTGAATAATTAAAATAAATTCAAGGTAACACTTCAAAAACCTAGATTTATGTCTGGGGCTACTGCTAAATTATAGAAAACCTTTCTTCATGTAAGGAAAGGGGGTCCAATTTTTATTGAGCACATACTACACATCAGGCTCTGTATTATGTATCTTACTCTTGAATTCCCAGAGCACCATACAAAGCCACTTTACATATGACAACAACCAAGACTCAGTGATCAAAGGAACAAATAATGAAAGATTAAAACAGAATAAAACAAATGAGAGCCTGATTCAAAATCCCACCTTCTATTTTCACTTAGGTTTGAACATGTGTAGGAAAAGGACTTTTGTGAACATCTTCTTATTTTTACTATAGAAATTTCCAATGACTGGAGAGAAATATTTAATGAGATAGATTATTTTGATACAGATTCTTTTTTTAAAAAAAAATCAAAGTTGTAGTGATTTCATATAAAAGGAAAGAATGGATAATTTAAGAATCATTTTCAAGCTCATGAAAGGGAACAAATGGTGGACATCAATCAAGTATCCTTTTTTTTGTAGTGTAATTTAGAAGTTTTCATAGTATTACTTCTTTAGGCCTAGAACTGCTTCAAGAAGCCCTGGGATATCCATCATGATAAAATAGTTGCTTTGAAGAAGGTAGAATTATTATTCTAGGACTTACAAAAGGTCCTAACTGGAAAAGGAAAATCAGATCAATCAAGGATGAGTTTCAGGTAAACATGAAGGTAAGAAACACTACCAATTCTGTGGAAGCTGTAACTGAAAGTAGCACCGCATCCAAAATGATGTTACAGTACAAAGACACATGAGGGTGCTCTAACCAACTGCTATAACAAATAAGTTCAACGGTTCAAATACTAGTATAGAATTAAGGCCCTTTTTGAATGATACAATTGCAAGCACTTGTTGCAACGATGAAAACCAACAATCTTGAAATAAACAAATTTTGGTATAAAATGTATGAATTCACCCAATTTTTTTTAAAAAATGCAGAATATGTCTACACTGGAGAGTTTTTAAAATACTGAAAAGTACAAAGAAGAAAATAAAGGAGTAGTGCTGCTTGTCAGTTTGGGGAGGCTGTAGATCTTGAAAATCAGGCTGACTGGAGCTGAGCTCAGGAAGCCTGCCTTCAAACACAAGCCCAGCCTGTTCTCATTTTGATTCCACAGACCTTCGGCTGCTAGAAGGGGGAGTAGAGACTGGGGTCTAATGACAGCAAGAAGAGAATTAAAGACGCATGTTTATCTCAATACATTTACTCTCATTAAAGTTCATATTCAGTGACATCATGCATCTCCTTGAAAAACTCTGCCCACCCACCATTAATTAAAGCCACATTTTAAAAACTCAGTGTGTGCGCTTTTATTCCAATCAAAAGTAGCCTCCTAAGTTTTGCAGAGTAGGCAGGGGAATATCTGAGGCCTGACAGCAGTTCACCTCTACACAGTGAGGAATCATGTGATTTACATTAAAAGTCATGTTTATTCAAGTCCTACAATTTAAGAGCTAAGATCTATTGTCTTGCGGAGTTAAAACATGCAATACCTAATAAGCTATTAAGAAAAATTAGCATTTATTTTGATAAGCACATTCTTTTGGATACAGTGTATAACATTATGCCTTTTTCTTTATAGTCTGAGAGAGCTAACTATAGATCCTGCCTGAATAATTAAGCAGCAGACTCCTATCAAAGACACCACACTTTATAACTTATACATGTGGTATCAATGTCAAAATAAAGGTCAATGTAAATTTTTTTAAACCATTGCACAAACAGTAATTACCAATAGCTGCTGGATTGCACAATCATAGTCTATATTCTTGGCAGTAGTCATTAAAAGTTCATAAATTCATGCAAATAAGGAATGTTGATTTTTAAAGTTCAAGAAAGTTACTATTTGTAAACAGTTCAGGTCACACTCATCTTTTTCTGTGTGCTAAGCAAGAGTTCTTCCAAATTCATTTAAATAAGATTTGGTCTCTTCATGAGCCTAGTAAAAGGATATTCATCCAAACAGATCTGCATTCTTTTCTTTTTTTTCCTATTAAAGCCCTCTCTCTTTGCCCCCCACTGGGGACCTTTAAATTTTATGCTCATCTTTTATATATTTACCAATATCAAGTTTATTTTTGTCTTGATAAAAGCCCAATTATGATTATCTATTCTCATTTGCAATTGGATCATTCTGAAATGGTTTTGACAAATATTAATCAGCCCCATCAATTTATGCTTTTCCTTGAAAGGACACCGTGAAGCATTTAAAGTCTTGAGTTATTCTGGTCACGCTACCATGCAGAGACTTGATTCGGGAATCATCTTAACATGGGCATCGAAATGACTTATTTCTGAGCCACAGCCCTTCTGAGGTAGAAATTGAAATGTGGGTGCTAGTCCTGACCTTTCTACTACCAACTCTCCATCTGACCTTGAACCCCTGAGGGTCTGTTTCCTCATCTAACAAAGAGTGGATGGAACATTCATATGGACTAGATACACATCAATCAGGAGACCTGTCAAAACTAGAGAATAAGGGGCCAGACTACCCTTTGTGGCACTGCTTTCCCTTGGTCCACTTAATAAATCCAGTTCCAGAAACCAAAAAGAGGGACTTTATGAGAACTGGGTCTATTTCTAACAGGCTTTCCTGTGTCTAGAACTAGCCAGCAAGCCATGCCTTGTTGCTTTCATGATAAGTCTTAGAGGTGAGTATTTTAGTCTTGATACCCTTAGAGACAAGCATTCTTTGCACCACTGCAAAGAATGGAACATTAACCGAACCTACAAATTCTACTTTGTTCTCCATGATGGGGTCCAGAGGGACCATACAACACTTGACCATGCACAATGCCAAAAGCAATGGGTGGATTACTTCACTCAGCTGTGGGAAGGAAGGTGGGGTGTAGTTGGAGAAATTTCCACCCAGTGGGTGGTATTCCTTAGAACAAACAGCTTTGGGTTGGGAGACAGTGGGAAGTTGTGATAAACTTTAGCAAAGTGTTAGATAAGCTGGCTTAAGTGACTCATCAGGCCAAGAGTCTAGAAAACTAGCCCATTGTAGTCCATACCTTCCTGCCGGCTCTGTTGTTGTGGAGATTCATCAGGGCCCTGGCGTCCTTTCCTTTCCTCTCCTTGGCATCCACAAACGCTCGGGCAAACTTGATCCCATAGTCAATGTTATCACTGCAGCCACCCCAGTCGAAAGTGCCTTTGCTGTCCTTGGCTGTTCCCTTCTTCTTTGGATCACAGGAACAGGATTTTAATTCTCCTTGGCTACAGGCCCTGGTGATGGCAAATACAACTCCAGCTGAAGAGATGGCGTAAACAAAGGCAGATTCCCGACTACCTGAAACAAAAACGCTTTTCTTAAAAGTGGTTTGAAATTGCTAGTGCTGAGTAACTTTCACGCACTGGCTGTTTAATAGTTGCTCTGCCTGAGACATGCTTTACCACTAGATGAAGTCTTTGTTTGTCCAAAGACTAGCTTCATCTAGTGGTGCTTACAGGACCATGCCAGGAACCAAACCCAGAAACTCACACATGCAAGGCAAGTGGTCTATTGCTGAGCCCCCATTTCCATCATGGAACTGATATTTTTGAAAGGCACTTTTTTTAGTATAACTCAGCCCCATCTCCTATAACCTATGTCAGTTTAGATAATGACAATTATCCTTAAATAACAATCTTGCCCAGATTCGGTCCAGGATTCATGATAGTCTCACACACACACTTACTTGCTTTGACCTAGAATCATATATTCCTGAGTAGAGACAAGTGTAGTATTTCTACACCTTAGCTTCTTCATCTGTGACATACAATCTGGATTCTGCCATCATATCATTCCATAATATGTTTTGAAATTCAACTTTTTTTTGAGTGAAAAAGGGTATCCAAGCCTCCAGGCATTAGTATGAACATTTATATGCCTTTACATGGTTGAGAATGAAATACTGAATTCACAGAAATCTAGGGAGTGAGGTGTGAAGAGAATTCAGGAAGTAACCAGCCTGCGCATTAACACTGGAAAAGTGTTGGCTTGGCATCAACTTTCACAAGTAATTGAGATATTGTTGAAGGCAAAATGCAATAACCTCAAGTTATACAGTATGTCTAACTATTAAGGTGAATTTACGTTTTTCTGGAACACCTGCACTAATCACTGATATTGGGTAAAAGGACAGTGAAAACTTTTTCTTTGGTTTTTCTGGAAAGAAACAAATTTACCGCCTATAATTAGACTTGGGCAAGACCCTTGGGGGGGCGCTTTATTAGAATTGTTCTTTATTAGTGCCCAGGCTACTTTCACTTATAGGCTGAAAGGCACATATTTCAGTGCAATAACTACATTAAATTATTTTAATAATCTGTAGTAACTCATAACACGGTGTTGTGGTATAGTGACAGATATAAGGCTCTTTAGGGTACATGCGCACCTCATTTTTCAAGCGGAGCCATATTTCATTGTTATTAGCATGCCTTATTATTAATGGTTGTTGCAGCAAATATATTAACAATCAAAATAGAAGTTGAACAGCCTAATGCCAATGCAAAGCAAAAAGTAGAGAGTCATTTGGCCAATCAATATGTCAAGACAAGTGTGACTTTTTGAACCACGCAGCTGGGAGAATAAACCACCTTTTCGCATCAGAGCTCTGCTTGTTTCCGTTTGTCATTCAGTGCAAAAATTTATTATACATGGCTTGCAATATTTGCTCTGCTGGCCTCATTATTAAAAAATCAGGGAAACATATCTACACCATATTAAATGGCACTTACCTCAGCCTTCAAAAATATCTTCCCCTGAACCTCTACCATCAAAAAAGGAATCAATCATACCTTTTAGGGAGATGAAATCAATTATATGAATATTTGCCACAGGTAGCAGGTAACATGTAGCATTCTCGAGAGAGAGATGTGATGGTCATGAGAACTATTTTTTAAAGAGTTCCAGACTAAAGAGATCACAAACTTTCTCAGTAGAAGTGTTTTATGAAAGAAAATGGCTAATAGATGCTAATGTGGCATAATCTCCAGTAGCAGCTTTCGGGTAAATAAACTTTTATGATACCTGTTTTAGAGTTTAGGAAATTCGGGGACTTAGACCCGTCCAAAGTCATCCCACTGATTCACTCAAGCTTGGCTGTGGATTTGAAGGAAAGTGTCATGATTAGAGATACAGCATAGAGGGAAAAGACTCAAATATTCAATGTTTGTAATACGAGGTTAATTTTTACTGAAAAAAAATTTTATGAGGTAATCTTCTATAGGGAAGGCCTGAAAAATGTGAATAAAAGGATATCAGAGACCAGACAACGCTCTGGAAGCAGCAGAGGAAGACACTGTCTAGTCACAAAATCCATCCTGGAATAACTTGCAAACAATTATGTTGACTTGTTAGCTGAAAGAAAAAATAGTTCTTAAAACCTGAGATGTTTCAGATGTTATTTACAAATCAAAAATATGACCTTTTAAGGATCTATCACATATTAAATCACATTAATACACAACTAGACATTTATGTAAGTAGAAAACTTATCTCATTAACTGATTCTTTTCTCTCCAGATGTTTTGGTATCATGCAGATATGGCCTTAAGATGTTTTCAGTTAAATGACTTAGATGAATCACTGAAATGCTATGTGTGAAATAGTAGCACATTTTAAGAGCTGGCATCGTAATGAAACAAATTTTGATCTTGGGACTCTTCTTAAAAAACCTTAATTCTTTTAAAGTCATCACCTAATGAAACACAATTCTCATTTAAATAGTAATGATTATAACTTCCTGATGTGTTACTATGAAAGCTTCTAATTTGGAGATTGAGATAAGTCAAGAAATATCCATCAGGGGCTGAAGTGACAGTACAACAGGTAGGCATTTTGGCCTTGCATGCAGCCGACCCGGATTCAATTCCCAGCATCCCATATGGTCCCCTGAGCACTGCCAGGAGTAATTCCTGAGTGCAGAGCCAGGAGTAACCCCTGTGCATCACCGGGTGTGACCAAAAAAGCAAATATATATGTACATATATTAAATTTTTGTTTGAGGAAAGTGATTGTAACGTGAGTGGGTAAAGCTAGAAGTAAAGCTTCTAGAAAGCTTGGGGTGTTCAGTGCTAGTGGTCTCTTGCTCTCTTATTTATTAACAGATGGAAGGGTGAAACCTAATAACATTTTTCTTTTTTAAGGTTCTTCTAAAATTCTGGATGTAGATCTGGATGTAGATTTGTATTTCCCTGTCTCTAAGTGGTTATAGTCTACTGAATGAATAAATAATGAATGTTTCTAAAACTTATTCTGGCTTTCCCTAGTTTGTGAAAGTAAGGGGGCAAAGATCCTCTATTTCTCTGTTATCTATTAGTAGCTGTTCTCACCATAAAGGGTTTTGTCCTTTGTCCTTTTAGATAACTAAGTAAATTTATCATGCAGATGAATTTGTATTTTCAAAGGAGATATTTTTTTCACAACTCTAGATGTAAATTTCCCTCCTAGCAATTAATTATAAGAGTCTTTGAACAACTTCATTGGAATTTCACAGTTGGTTCCAGTATAAGCTATTTTAAGCCAAAATTAGTTCTCCCAGAACCAACACAGAAATCATTCCTGATAGTCACAGGGGGTTACATGAAAGTCCAGGAACAAATCAGGATTTCTGTTAAGAATTTGTGTCGTATGACTGTTCTAAGTGTTGAGTACTCTAGCTAAAAATTCAGATCAATTTTCTAAAAATCTAAAATAAATTCAATAATCTCTTATTTTTTGTCCTACTTAATCTTGTATCTAATCTCTCATTAGAATCTCTTATTAACCTGAGGCACTAGAATTAGTCAAAGTAGCTCTTCTCACTTAGTTACTCCATAGTTATAAGCCAACAAACATGGCCAAGATTAAGCTAAAGCATTTTATGAATGGATTCCTGGTTTGGGCAGATACGCTTCTTTAGAATCAGTGGTCCACACTGCTGCTTCTGATTTGTGATCTCAAGGGTATTTTCAACTTAAGGACATCTTAGTAGATTTTCATACAGACACATACAGAAGGATCAACTCTAGTTATCCTTCAACTAGAGTTGACCCTTCTACAAATGATAATTACATTCAGTTGCTGATCATTGGGAAATTTTGGTGAGCACACTTAAAAAACAATATCTGATACAACTCAAACACCTAGAACCTGTGCATAGTAGATTTAAAAAATTACTGTGCTTGGATATTTGCTGTATCTTTTTGGCAAGCTCCAGTACTTTAATTGATTCATTGATGAACTAATAATGTAGATGAAGTCTGAAAATCTAGGTGTAGCTTAAAATTTACTATTACCTTTCAAAAATGTGTGATGTAATATTGAAACTCCAAAAGAAATACAGAAGAATATGGTCCTTAAACCAGAGAATAAAATTGCAGAATATTGCAGTAAATTAACTTTAGGGATACACTAAGAGTGAGAGTACTACGCCCTTGGGGGATTTTAGAGACATTCAGTTATGCATTTGGCCTCATAAAACCCTAGGGTTGTGATGATTACATGATAGAAACACCCTCTGTTAAACATTACCAAGCACACAGTCTGGATGATTTTCTTAGGAACAGGGGGGTGGGGGGGTTGCAAAAACAAGGGTAAAGTTTCCTGTTTCTGGGGTTTGCACACATACTGCTATTTTCAGTCATATCTCCTAGTAGCTAATAGGCCATACTACTTCTTAGACGTAATGCCAGATTGATTATGCTATAAATGGCAGGCTAAGGATGGCCACTGCTTTAAAAATTAAATCTGAGTTTTAATTCTTCTATACAAACAGCGAGTTACTTCCCATATTCAAACCTGTTTTGTTTTTGGACCACACCCGACGGTGCTCAGGGGTTACTCCTGGCTCTGCACTCAGGAATCACTCCTGGTGAGTTCAGAGGATCATATCATATGTTGGGGATGGAACCTGGTTTGGTTGCATACATGGCAAGCACCTTACCTGCCATCTCTATTTGAACTTTCTAAGAGGCTTGTTATATAATTAGATGTTTACTAAGAAGCAAAAAAAAAATTAATGTATTGTTTAATTATGGTTTTCTATACTACCTTCTATAGAAATCCTGCCCAGAGGGTATGGGGAAACATTACCACTTCTGTGAAGTTCTTCTATATATGTGTTCAAAACACACAATGAATGAATGGTGATGCAACACACAAGGTCTCAAGTGAAGCAAGTCAGACTAGGCTTTGTCTTGAGGGAGGATTGTAGACAGAGAGCCCTAAGGTTTTGGAGTTGAGTGGAAGGTCAAAGATGCTGAGCAAAGATTTGTGTCAGTTTCTTAACTCTTAAATGGTGCTTAATAAAAATGACTTAGGGTCAAAGAGATTGGCCAGAGATTAAGGCACTTGCCTTGCATGCTGTTAACTCCAGTTCCATCCCTGGCACCACATATGATTCCCCAAGTCCTGCCAGAGGTGATCCCTGAGTACAGAGCCAAAAGGAAATCCTGACTATAGTGAATTTGGTCCTCACCACACCCTTACCCCCCACCCCCACCCATCAATAACAATGGCTACTAGTAGCCAATAAACATCTCGGGTGTCAAACCAGAATGCCCAAAAGGAGAGAGAGAGTATGCCCCCATGGAGGCAGGGGGAGGGTGGAAAGGGGGGGTTATACTGGGATATTGGTGGTGGGGAATGTGCACTGGTAGACGGATGGGTATTTGATCATTGTGTGATTGTAACCCAAACATGAAAGCTTGTAACTATCTCATGGTGATTCAGTAAAATTTAAAAAACAAACAAATAAATAAAAACAGTATGGAGTAGCTAAAAACACACACACATTTTGGGTGTCTTTGTACATACTGTTCTGGAATCACCAGCTGGCGGTGTGTGACTTTTCCTTCCTTTCAGAGGAACCCCATGTCCTAGTCACCCACACCCCTCTACCCACACCCCTCTAAAGTAATTGGGTTTTCCCTATTACTCTATGGGTGCACTCCATCTGGGTGTCACTCACGTCACAACTTGGGAAATGCAATTTTCTCTACTTTATGGGGTGCTTTCTTTCACTCCCTAAATAATTCATATTCTCCTTAGAATCAGTATCCTCCCTTAGAACTATTTTATTGCACTAAAAAAAGAAAAATTAAATTAAAATTTTAAAAAATACGGACACACTAAAATGTGGGTGTTCCATCCTAGTCTTTTGCTCAAATCACTCCGCAAGGTTCAAGTCTCAGTAAGAAAAGTACAAAACCCAGACAAGTCAGTGGTTGCTGCTACTTTTCCTCCAGGAGCTCAAATATGCACCTGAGGGAAAGACAGGATCATGACTGTCACTGGGTCGCCACGTGGATGGAACAGAGCAAAAAGTTCAAAAGCACTAGTCTCGGCACCACATCCTCATCTGTAACTGGTCTCCTGCAAAACTTTCAGCTAGGTCCTTGATGTGTAAAACAAAGAACTAAGCCAACCAACAGATCACACTCCCCATGGCTACAATGCAGGAGAAGCTGAACAGGGGCTCTGAAGAGTCAGTGAGGGGAGAAAGGAGTTGAAAGAGGGGCACAGACTTACTTCGGAGCAGGACCCTGCCGAAGAGGCTGTGATCCCGGTCCAGGGTGTTGCAGTTCCAGCGATGCTGGCGGAACTGGTGTTGACACTCAGCTGTCCACTCGGCTACGCCCAGGCCGATGGCACGCATCACATCAGGATGTCGGTGGCACAGCTGCCTCTGTCGGCTCACCAGGCCTGGCACATTGTCACACATCACCCTGGATGAGCCACCTGTAGCTCTCATGTACCTGGGAAGGACAGACACAGAGGTAAGAACACAAGGAACAGGGAGGCCCTTCTCCCAGAAGGAAGAGTTCCAAGCACTCTGCCAATTTCCCTCTCCTCCGGGGGACAGGAGAAAGCAGAGGGGGGCATTGTGTATCAGTTTAGTGAGGTGGCAAGGCAAGGACAGTGTTGGGGAGATGCCCCCCCAGCCCCAGCCCCCAAACACACAGAGTTGTGATGCCTGTCCCTTGGACACGAAGCCAGGGCCACCAGATGATGCTCTGGGAAAGGGGGTACAGGCAACATCTGCATTCAGGAGCAAAATGGCTGGGGGGGGGGAGCCACGTGGGGGGAGAAAGAATGCTTAAGGGAAGTTGACCTTTAGAACTTCCATTCAGTTGCCCTAACACTGAGGTGTCTTAAGACACTGTCCATATCCATCCAATCAGCACCTGCTGGTAGCTGATGTTACACTCTCCTCATAGATATGCCCTTCTCCTCCTATTAAAAAAAATCCTTTAAATCCTTCTATTCTCCAGCTCTTCTTTGGCTTTTATAGAAAATCTCTGGGAAAAATTCTATTGTTATTAAGGACACTAAATGTTTGGAAGAATCAAACAGTGTTATAGCACCATAAAGCACTTTTGAAAAGAAACTTTAAAAAAAATTACATCATCATCTCTACCCAGATGTTCTCTATTAGTTGTGAAATGTTTAGAAAGGTACCTTTTATATAACCCAAGCTGCCATAGGTGTCTTTTGAAGCGATCAAACAAGGAGAATGTCTTTTTCTTGTATTTTTCATTATTTTATATGATCATAAAATTGTTACAGCTGTGACTTCCAAAAAATATACTTACATGACAGCTGAGAGACAATGTGACAAAAAGCCTGAGTAATAAATAATGTTTACACACCTCTGGAAACAGATATAGTCATTTTATTGAAAAACGGTCACTTGGATAAATCAATCTTTGATTCTGTGTCAGCAGTCAAGGGTAAACTCCTTCCTATTAAAAGTGGGTTTGTGGAAGGTACCAGATTGCTTCTTCCCATCAGCACTCTGCCTTGCTCCTTTGAAGAGCAGCAGTGTCTTCCTAAAGTTCCGGGCTCAAGTCTTTCATCCAAGTTTTACTCCTTCCTTTCACCAGATTTTTAAGGAAACACACACACACACACACACACACACACACACACACAATTCCCCAACATAGTAACAGGTCTTTCTGAATCAATACTTGAACATCTTTCTTTGGAAACTTGCAGATGCAGAATTATCGCACAAATGGAACACCACAGTGCATCTCTCCACTTCCAGATCCTTCCAGATCAGGTTAGGGGGATGGAGAAGGACTCCTGGGTGGGGAAAGAATCTCTCTTTGGAGCATGTAAGGAGGCTAAAACCTGTTCCTTTTCAACTGGCGTTCAGCACACTGAATAAATGAATGGCCACCCCAACATACAAAGGACAGCATGAAAGTTAGTTTTGCGGGTGACTGGGTTTTGAACAGGATAACATCTTAGAGCCCCCAAACGCCTGGAAACTTTGCATTAAGGCGGTGGTCTCTACCTGGAGGCAGCAACAGCTCTTCGGCCCCACTGAGGTGAAGTATTAGGAATGTGGAAGGACGGGAAATAACGCAGAATGGCATGCTTGGGGTACTACAACGGGAGGGAGGGCTGCCTGAATTGGCCCCCTTAGGCTTATCTGAAAGCAGTTTGGGGTGGATGTGGGGGATGGTGGTAAGAACTGTCGTTTTCAACACACACACACACACACACACACACACACACACACACACACACACACACACACACACACCCGTGCTACAGACCCCCGGCTGGCCAGTGCATCTCTTGCAGAGTGGGTCAACGGGATAAGAAATAGGCTGATTTTTTTGCAGTCGCTCGGCTGGTCCCAAATAGACCCAACATCCCCGTTCTCATTTGAGGGGGAATGTGGCCTTTCCTTCGTTCCCCCCCACCCCACCCCACCCCACCCCTACTCCCCGAGTTGTCAAAGCTGCGGCTTCGGAGGAAAGGCTGGGGGGGGGGGGGGCTCGGGGTGGCGCGGTAGGCGAGAGGCGCGGCGGCCGCGGGGAAGCGGGGGAAGCGGGGGATCTCCGGGCCAGTGCGGTCCTCGCACCCCCGCCCCGGCTGCCCCGCGCCCCCCGCAACCCCGTGCGTGCGTGAGTGCGTGCGTGCGCGCGGGGGACTTACCACCATGAAGAGCTGACCTCCTCCGGGGTGAGCCAGGTCCAGAGCAGAGGGAGCCAGAGCCAGATCCCAGCGACGGGGGCGTTCATAGTAACCCCCTGGCGTCCGCATCAGGTCAGACGGCCGGTGCGGGCGCCATGCGTGCCCCGAGCAGAAGCGCTCAGCGCCGGGAGCGCCTCGTCACGGCCGCCGGCGCCGCGCCCCCGCCCCCCCCCCCCGCACCCCCACCCCCAGCTCGCGTCTCCGGCGAGTGAGAGAGACGCGCTGATAAAGTTTGCAGCGAGCCGCGGCGCGAGCGATCGGGGCAGCGCCTCGCCCCCCGCCGGAGCCGCCCCCTCCCCCGCGCGTCCCTGGCCGCTGCGTGCGCTCCCCGCGCGGGCAACGCCGACGGAGGGGGCCTGCGCCGGGCGGTGGCGGCGGCGGGGGGCGGGCGGGCGGGGAGGCGATGCGCTCGCTTCCCCCCACCCCTACACACACACACACCAATGCACACTTTTTTTTCTTTTTCTTTTTTTTTTTAATTGGAGGGTGATTGTACTGATGGCAGGCACTGTCAGGGTTGGGAAGCGGGGTGCGGGGCGACGCGGAGGGCCTCGGGCGCTTGGGGGAGGCGGCACCTTTTGGGGATGCTCCGGAGCCCGGAGCATCACCCGAGGGTCTTGGCTCCGGCCGCCGCGAGGCGCATTCCCGAGACGCGAGGCTCCCCCCCCCCCCCCCCACCCCCGCCTCTGCCCGCAAACCCGAGGGCCTCCCCTGCTCCCACCGCCCCAGTCGGGCAGTGTTTCGGAGGGTGGGCTAGGGAGGACGGAAGCGACGGCGGGGAGGCTCCGGGGAGAAGCCGGGCGGGCGGCGGCCGGAATCCAGCACCGAGCCTCAACTCAGCGCCCCGCTGCCTTCCCGGACCGCAGCTGGGACGCTGGGAACGCTTGCGGGTCGGGGAGCTGCGGGCTGCGGCCGGGCGAGGTGGGTGGGTGGGTGGGTGGGGTTGCGGTCGGGCCTCTCTTGGGGAAACGGGGACCCGGAGCCTTCATTCCCGGGAGATTTCCCGGGGGCTGGAGGCGGGGAACGCTTTCCCCGGGTTCTGATCTCCGCCTCGGTGCTCCGGGAGGGATGGGGATGGGGGATCGTGCGGGACCCTCCGTCCCCGGTGCCGGCACCCGGCGGCGCCCAGAGGGAGCCCGAGCGCGAGATTCAGGCCCGCGGGTGGAGCATCTCGAGCAGCAACTGGCCTGCAGCCCCGCGCTTTATCACCGGAAAGGAAGGAAGAGCAGGAACTCGCTATGGCCCTGAACTGTTCCATGGCTCTTTTCCTGGGGTGGAGGGACCTGCCGCCCGCCCGGGGAACGTGCCTGGGGAAATGCGGAAAGTGGGCGCGGCGTGGTTTGCGGGGCTCAGAGGGCGGCTCGTTCACCACCACCACCACCACCACCACCACCACCACCCCAGCCCCCGCCACACACACACACACACACACACACACACACACACACACACACCGCGCCCACTCCTCCCGGGCCTGGACGGCCGGAGCACTAACCCTGACCCGCGGGAGCGCGGTGCGAGGCTGGACGGGGTGGGGGTGGGGGGGGGTGGGGAGCTGAGAATGCCGAACCCTGAGCGATGCTGTCATCGCCTCTCGGCTCCCCCACCGGTCCCCGGCAGGTCCGGGCCCCTCCCAGGCTGACCCAGAGACATTCCCCGCTTGGGTCCGGAAAGGGAGGGGAGGGAAACGAGCACCGCGCCACCCACGACTCGGGAAGAGCAGGGCACGGCGCCAGGGCCGCTCCGTATCGCTGGGCCACGACCCAGGGGAAGTTCTGGTCGGGCTGTACCGGCCGTCCAGGGAGGAGCAGCCTCGAGTGCCTGGGGATGGGCGCGTTTCTGCGCTGGCTGTGTGCGCAACTTGGGGCGGGGGGGACGGAGGGGGGACCGCGGCGGGGGGAGGGGGCGCACGCGGAGTCGGCATCGGCACCCGGGAGCAACAAATCGCTTGGGCTCCTCTGCGTCTGCTCCTGAGCCTCTTTTCCTGCAAGAATGAGAAGACTCCGGAGCACACTCCCCACCCCGATCCGCAGAGCCTGACGGCAAAACCTAGGCACGTGGGGCCGATTAGAAAAGATGGGGTGGCCTCCAAAGAACCCTATACCGTCAAAATGTCACTCAGCAAGAATAGAGTGGGGGCGTGGATGTGTTTGTTGTTGGGGAAGGTTGGCAACGCTTTGTGAACGGCGAGACCTGAAACTATCTGAAAAATCCCTCCACTCCGAGTTCCCCCCAACTCCGCACACCAGGGAGCTAGAAATACAGGGAGTGTGACCCCCTCCAGCTTAGAGGCCCTTCTTCCGCTCCCAGAGAATCCGTGAGTGGCCAGGAGCTCTGCCTATTGGTAATGAGGCCAGGGCCGCCCTTCTGGGAAAAAAGAGATCATCTCAAGGAATTCGGTCGTCTTCTAGGAGCTCATCCTGGGAAGGGTGGACATGTGCCCCAGGAATGGCAGCAGAGAAAGCAGGCCTGGTGAAAAGCTAAAGGCTGAAAAAGCTGAGTGGAGGCTGCATCCAAATGCACCCAAGCAGCCCTTCCCCACCTGTCTTTGGGCAGGCTTCTCCTGCTAGGGCTGTTTTCCTCGCATTCCCTTAGCTCTGCACAACTTCCCTTCAGGCAGGAGAAGTCTCACTTTCCTCCCTCTTCACCTGTATATCAGGTCTCCTGCAGGACCCTATTTTGAGGACAGGTGACCACTACTAGAGGAAATTAAAAAATTCTCAAGAAAATTAGGAGGAAACGATGGTTAACTACAAACTCCCTTCTCTTGCAATGAAAACTATCACTATCGTCCCAAAGAAGAGTTAATAAATAACGGGGTAAGTCGCATATGACGTCAGCCTGGCGATAGCAGATGATGAGGCAAGGAACGACAGGGCTCAAAGTACCTTTAGATCTTTGAGTGTAATGTAGACTTTTGGATACTTCAGCGAGACATCTCAGAATTGACTGTAAAACTTACAGTATACAGAATCCAAATCTCTTTCTGAAGATTAATGTTAGTTTGCTTGTACAGTATTGTAGCCAAATGAGTCAGTCTATTTTTCTAGTTAGATCCATTGTTTGTCTAATCTCCCAGGGCAGAAAGAGAACTAATTTACTACCAAACCATCTCCACCCTTTAGAAATGGAGTTACTTCTTCAATCCAATGGTCATTTGTCTTTTAGTATGAACTGGCTTATTCCTAAGGCCATTTAGCTACTTACTAACCAATGATTCAAAAGTCAAGTAACTCCAACTAAGATTTGGTGACCTTAAGAGAACACATTAACAGGACAAGACAGGGATAGTAAAGGGAGAAAAAATAGATCTTTTTAACCTTCAAGATTTAATAGTTTACATACATAATAACTAATATAACCTCTAACAGAAAATCTATCATTAAAAGTTAAAATGTAGGTAATGAAACTTACAATACCTAACATTAAAACTAAATCCACCCATACAGAATGATCTCTATCATATGTGGATCTTAGAGATACAAAGCATGGTAGCACCAAGGTACCAAAGGCAACATGAGGGAACATTGGTTGATCCATACAACCAAATTGTTAGTGGGAGATGGGGGATTGAAAGGGAGGGGAATTATAGTACTTAGGGGAGGGAAATGGGTATATTGGTGTATATTACTGTGTCCGAATTATGTGCATGAGATACTATCATTAACAGTATTGTGAATCACAGAAACTCTAAGACTACACAGAATTCATACATTGGTTAATAGGCAGCATGAACATGTGATCCTTGAGAGAAGGGAAACTAAGGTATTTCATAATGGTCCATAATTATCCTGTTGTTATTGTTGTTTTTTGCTGAAGGGTACTCTTTCTAGGATGCAAGAAAGTGGAACCCAGTCAGAGCACTAGTCTGGCTCAGAAGGAGAGTTTGGAGTTTAAGCCTGTTGAAGAAGGTTTAAGGCTGTTGAAATTGGCTGGGCAACATATCTGAAAATAGTTGGGTGCAAAATACAGGGGCCCACAAGTCTATAATGAAGACGCACCATTGGTTCTCGGCAAAGAGGTAGGCTGAATATAGCATGACATGACTCTGAGCATGACATGACATCAATGCTGAGCAGAGACTGCCTGCTGCATGTCATGCAGTGTTGACAATGGTGTTTCAGTTCAATGGGATGGAGAGGCCTCATTCAAAGCACTTCAGGAATTCAGTTGAGATGCTATAAAGGCATCTTTAGAGTAAGTGTAAAATTAAGAACATTGGTTTTATCCTACCACATGCTCTCACAAAGAATAAAAAGAAAAGGGATTCAGACATGTCAAGAGGAATTTATAAGAATAAAACCAACACGAATTAAAGGAAGACAACATTATATTATCAACAATGTCAAGAATACAATAAAACAAATAACAGGCAAGTGAAAGACTAGGAAAAATGTGACCCACACTCAAGAAAAAAGAAGCCAAAGCTCCTGTCTGACACTGGCAAGATGTAGAAATGGGAAGGAAATTTGAAAGCATATCTTATCCCTATGTGTAAGTATTTAAAGAAAAACACTGTCACAATGAACAAAGAGATTAAAAATCTCGGTGGAGAAATGGAAACTATAAGAAAAAAATGAAAATATAAAATCACAGACAGAGTGTCTGAAGTGAAATTTTCACTAACAGGGCATAGCAGTGGGATTGAATGGCAAGAGAAATGAATAATGAGCTTAAAGACAAAAGTTATCTAATCTCAAGAACAGTGAAATGAGAATTATTATTAAAAATTAAAGAAATATAACCTCAGCATCTGTGGATATCACTCCTACACACATCATGTTCAAATTGCTTAAAGATAAAGAAAATAGTCTCTAAAGAATCTGTAGCACTGTCGCACTGCACTGTAGCACTGTCCTCCCATTGTTCATCGATTTGCTCAAGCGGGCCAGTAATGTCTTCGTTGTGAGACTTGTTGTTACTGTGTTTGGCATATCCAATACATCATGGGTAGCTTGCCAGGCTTTGCCGTGTGGCCGAGATACTCTCAGTAGCTTGCGGGGCTCTCTGAGAGGGGTGGAGGAATCGAACCCGGCTTGGCCAGGCTGGCTGGCTGTGCACAAGGCAAACGCCCTACCGCTGTGCTATTGCTCCTAGAGAATCAATAAGAAAAAATACGAAGGCCCCACAAGATTATAATAGAGATTCACATTTGGCCAGCTTAAAGCCAGGCTGGATATAGATATGACATGACTCTGCAATTAAAATTCATATTCCTGTTCAAAGGCAAACAGGAATATGAATTACAACATACTTTTCATTGTATCACTGTATCACTGTCATCCCATTGTTCATCGATTTACTCGAGTGGGCATCAGTAATGTCTCCATCCATCCCAGCCCTGAGATTTTAGCAGCTTCTTACTCAT